TTAGCCATTGTTGCAATGACAAACAATTTTTTTGAGTTAATGTCATCTGAAGATCTAATTACATTACGGAACTCATTCCTATATCTAAAATTTGCACCTGGGCGTTTAACATTCATTATCTTAAAAATATCTGTAATAAGTCATCCATAAAAAACGTACGCCAAAAATTTGATCCCCCTTACCCTGTTGCCATGTGTGTTTTTAAGTCCCCACCCCCTTAAAAAGTACGTACGTTTTTCAAATACCCCCCCCCCTCCAACATTTTTTTTTCAATAAAAAAGTTTATTGAAAAAAAAAAAGGTGGAGAAGGTATATATATATATATATATATATATATATATATATATATATATATATATATATATATATATATATATATATATATATATATATATATATATATATATATATATATATATATATATATATATATATATATATATATATATATATATATATATATATATATATATATATATATATATATATATATATATATATAAAATCTAAAATCGTTCACTTTCTGCATTTTTGACCAAGTGAATTTTCAACCTACTGAATATTTAACCTAATGTATTTTCTATTTTATAACTACATCTTTCCGGTATGCATTTTGTAAATTTTGTTGTTGATTTAAATAGGAGCCAAATTTGATCAGCCTTGGCGGAGTGGTTGAAGCGCAGTCTTCAGCTTAGGGAGATATAAGGTTCGATGAATGCTTGGAATACTTATTGATTGCTAATTTTTTTTTTTTTTAAAATGTAGTTTAAAAACACAACGTTAAAAACACAGACCAGATGATAGGTTGAAAATTAATTTATCTCAAATCGGTTGAAATAAAAATCTATAAAACAGGTCGAAAAAAAATCGATCGAAAACGTAAATAATTATCGCCCTATTTCTATCATTCCTACGTTTTCAAAATATTAGAAAAAATTATCTTCGAAAAAAAATACAACTACCTAGTTTCAAATAATTTACTATATAAAAATCAGTTCGGCTTTAAAAAAAATAGTTCAACTGAACAAGCCACTATTCAATTTACACGTGAAGTCTCAAATTCTTTTGCTAAATCACAATATACACTTGGTGTTTTTGTCGGTTTATCAAAGGCTTTTGATACAGTCAATCTTGATATCTTACTTAAAAAACTTGAGTTCTACGGAATAACTGGTAAAATGATCAAATGGTATAAAAGGTACTTGTCAAATAGAAAGCAATTCGTCTACCACGGAGAAGAATTGTTTCCTATTAATCTTCAAAACAAAACATTAATTGAAATAAAATGCGGTATTGCACAGGGTTCTATCCTTGGCCCACTTCTCTTTTTAGTATACGTCAACGATCTAAATTAGGCCTCGAATCTTATAAGCATCATGTTTGCCAACGATACCAATTTATTTTTGTAAAACAAAGACATTAAGAAACTTTTTTTAGATATGAATAAAGAACTTAATCAAGTTTCTAACTGGTTTAAATGCAATAAATTAACCTTAAATATTGACAAAACAAAGTGGATCCTCTTCCACTCCTCAGCAAAAAAACGCTTTTTGCCTTATGATTTAACTAAACTTTATATTGACGAAGTAGAAATAAAAAAAGATTCCGTTTTAAAATTTCTAGGTATTTATCTTGACGAAAATATGACATAGAAAGCTCATATTGATTATATATCAACAAAAGTTGCGAAAAGTATTGGTATCCTCTATAAGGCCAGAAATTATCTAAATAAAAATAATTTAAAACAACTATACTACTCATTTATTCATAGCTATATAAACTATGCAAATATTGCCTGGGGAAGTACAGGTAAAAGTAAGTTGCAACGTCTTTACCGCCATCAGAAATATGCAATGCGAATAATATATTTTTAAAATCGTTTTTCAAATACAAAACCTCTATTTAAAGAAAAGAATGTATAAAATGTTTATGAACTTAACTTGTACAATATTTTATGTTTTACGTTTTGTTGTATGAATAACCCCTTATTTCATGCTTTTAAAGATCTATTTACCTTTAAAGTAAAGAATAAATATAGTTTGCGAAATAACAACTATTTAAAAGAACCCTTTTGTCAAACAAAGTTTAATCAATTTTGTATAGATTATCGAGCACCTTATATCTGGAATAAAATTGTACAGCCTAATTTAGATTCATCTATCTCTTTTTCTGTTTTTAAAAACAAGTTAAAGAATATTATTTTTTTTACGGATAATATATTGAAATATTTTTGAGATATTATTTTAACCATTTCTTATTTCAAATGTTTTGGATTCTTATTTTGTTATAAAAAACCTGTATTATACTATACTATATTTATATTTTAATTTTTATATGGTTCTGGCGACAAGATCGATATAATCTTCTTCCAGATTCCAAGTTTATATGTTTATATTACTTGAATATCACGACATGTAGATAATGTAAACTGAAAAAAAAAACATAAAAAAAAAATTAAAAAGAAAAAAAAACGTAAACGCCATAAATCGGTTGAAAATAAAAAAGACAATAATCGGTTGATAACAATTTACGCCTGAGTAGGTTATTTGAAACTTAGTTTCACTTTTTAGTAGATGTTCTTTTTGTAGAACAATTTAGTAGGTCAAGATTTTTGTAGATCTAACAAACTAACTTATTAAAGAGATTTTTGCGGGTAGGTACAATCGGCGGGTAGGTACAACCTTTATAATTGTAGGTCTAACACAGGCATCCGTCTTTAGTAAATCCATAAAAAATGAGTCTTTCGCGAGATCAGTAATATTGAACAAGAAGCCTAAAACCAAGTGCCGAGGGTAGACTACCCATACCCTTAATGAAACATTTTTTTTTGAAGGAGAGGGGGGGGGAGCTCCAATCCATTAGCCAAGGCACTACTAAAATCTGTTTTGTCGACTCAAAAAATAGATTGATATACGCTTTTCTTAGGGCAGGTATATAAGGGGTAGCATGCATGCATAGGCGCCCGCAGGATTTTTTGATGTTCCAAATAGGACACTTGTTGTTTCCAAATTTGCACACATTGTGCAAACTCCAAACTTTAGTATGTTTATACCTATGCCAAATGAGGAAGCCTTGCAAAAAATTGGGATGGTGGAAGCCTGGGAACAAAAACCTTTGAAACGCTTTCCCCCTCCCCTAGCCCAAACGTGAGGGCACTAATGTAGGTTTGGGCAGGGAGACTAGCGTATTAAGGCTTTTTTGTTCCCAGCTTTCCGCCATCTCAATTTTTTATAAGGTCTCTTCATTTGGCATACAATCTGACTTTATAATAAAGAAAAAACGAAGTTTCTATTCTAAGGTACAGGTAAGGCATTAGGGAGACTAGCGTATTAGGGCTTTTTTGTTCCCAGCTTTCCGCCATCCCAATTTTTTATAAGGTCTCTTCATTTGGCATACAATCTGACTTTATAATAAAGAAAAAACGAAGTTTCTATTCTAAGGTACAGGTAAGGTATTAGGGAGACTAGCGTATTAGGGATTTTTTGTTCCCAGCTTTCCGCCATCTCAATTTTTTATAAGGTCTCTTCATTTGGCATACAATCTGACTTTATAATAAAGAAAAAACGAAGTTTCTATTCTAAGGTACAGGTAAGGTATTAGGGAGACTAGCGTATTAGGGCTTTTTTGTTCCCAGCTTTCCGCCATCCCAATTTTTTATAAGGTCTCTTCATTTGGCATACAATCTGACTTTATAATAAAGAAAAAACGAAGTTTTTATTCTAAGGTACAGGTAAGGTATTCTACTAGGTAAGGTATACTTACTCTACAGGGATCCCGCATTTTTTCGTCTTTGAGTTTTGAGCGAACTTTAAAGTTTATTAGTATATAGTTATGTCAACATAGATGCTTTGCGAAAAATTGCGATGATTAGAGCCTGAATAAACTTTTGCCCCCCTTCCCTGCCACGTGAGAGCAATAAGTTGATAAAATCTTTTTTTTACTATTCTCAACAAGACTTGTTATTTTTTTTTTTAGTTTACATTTGTCATAGTAAATAAATTACTTTCACTAACACAAACAAGGTTTCTGAAAGAAGATCGTACTGATCTTATTATCAGAACCTTTTACAAATGTGTGTATCTAAACTACATCAAAACATAATCAACAAAACAAAACGTAATTAACGATAAAAGCTCTGAAGAAAATATAAAATTACAATTAAAAAAACCCGATTAGATTATCCATTAAGATAATTAATTTTTTTAATTTAATATTCATTGATTATCCATGTCATATTTTGAAAATCCGGAAAAATTGTTTGGGTAAAATATCCAGAAAAAATTTTGAATATATTTCCCCTTAATTTTGCTTTTGAATGAGTAAAGTCCAATTTTTTTTTCAAACTTTCAAATTTTTGTATTAGTGATGAATGAAAAAGCCAAAAAAAAATAAACATATTGCACGAATATACACCTAAATTTGTGCGTATTGTAAACGTTTTGGATATCCGGAAAAACTGAAGGTTGATAAAAAATATCCGGAAAATGATAATCCCTGAATATTCTTCGATAAATTTCAAGTTTTATTTCTTAGCGTTCAAAAACTATGACCGTAGAAAATTTGTAACTCCCTCAAATTGAGGAGGCTTCAAAATCTATATAGTCGTAATTTTTAAACGCAGAGAAACTATACTATGAAACTTAAAATTTATCGAAGAATATAAGTATAGTTGAGAAAAGCACAAATCATCATAATTTTTTGCAAAGCATCCTTATTTGACAGTTATTTGAAGTATAATCAAATAAACGTTTGGAGTTTCCCCATGTCTGGAATATATCTCAAAGACAGAAAAATGCTGGATTCGCCTCTGTTACTCTATTATAAATAGCAATAAATTTTTCTTATTACTTACAGTTTAAACACCTTGGTTCATAAACACCAAGGGGGAACGATCGACTAACATTTCAAATGGTGTTGATAAAAAATTTTTCACCCAAATTTTGTAAATAAAGTTATTAAAGCAAACACCCTTCAAATACACCCAAAAGACAACACAAAACTCTAATAATAAAATTATTGCAACTAACACCCTTCAAACATCCCCAAATAATAATAAAAACTGTAAAATTTAAAAAAATTATTACAATTCACTTCCTAAACTAAATTTGATGTCGTTAAATCCATCAATACACTCTCCAGACATAGTAGGCCACAATAGGTGTCGTTAAAGCCATCAAAATTGACGAAATTAAATTAACTTGATCATTGTCTAATAAATCGCAACCAGAAATATGTTGAGTTGATGGTGTTGGTTTACTTACAACTTTTTTGCTTAAAATACAATACCCTGAGTATTGGTAGACTGCTCCTATTAAGGAATCAAGTATACTACCGACTAATCCTGCATAAATAGTTACTAACAAAATTGGCCATTGAGATGGCAAAGTATTTTCACCAATATTTGGAAAAACAAAAAGATAGTTTGAAGCAATGAATGTAATACCAATCGCTAATCCTCCTAGTGAACTTGAAATTAGTCCTAATAGAGTTACACCTCCATTAGTACCTACAGGTACCGTTTTCCAAGATGTAATTAAACGCGGATACTTCCCGCCATATGCAGTACCTAGTTCTGAGCTCCACGTATCACCATTGCAACACGCTAGAGAACCAATTAATCCTGTTATAAGCACAGATGTGGTGAAATCTTTTGAAAAATTTATAGGACGTTCACCACAACCAACTTCGATTAAGTAAACTACCGAGATAAAAACCGCTACTCCACCATTACAAGCCACCTGTCTTGCAGTTCTTTGCCCTCCTAAAATGTATATAAAGGTGCTACATAATAATATATAGTAAATAGATTAATAATTAAAAATACAATTACAAAATAAGAGGCCGCCACACATAAAGCAGCGTTTTTGCTTACATAGAGCCGCATTATAGTTTAATGAAAATCTATAACAATGCGAAAGATTTAAAGAGACTAAGAAAAATAACTGTTTTAAATGAATGTTTTCCGCTGAGGTAGATAGATGTTGGTTACATCTGTTATTTATTTATGTTCTAATGCCTCTCTCAACATAATTCTCTGACCCCATCGCAGCGACCTCCAATTGCAGATTTTCATAAATAATTTAACACACACACCTGAAGAATCGAACAAAATAAAAGCAGCTCCGAGGTAAGCAAACGCAATATTTTTTTAAATCTATCAGTTTATTAGTTTTATATTATACACAAATATGCATACATCAAAAAAAAAAAAAAAATAAATAAATAAAAATATATATATATATATATATATAAATTATATATATATATATATATATATATATATATATATATATATATATATATATATATATATATATAAATTTTATATATATATATATATATATATATATATATATATATATATATATATATATATATATATATAAATTTTATATATATATATATATATATATATATATATATATATATATATATATATATATATATATATATATTTAAATTATATACATACATCGTCGGAAAATATAAAGTCGTATAGCATAAATATGGTATAAAAAGTGTTGAGAAAAATGTTTTTTTTTTCTTGATTACTAAAATATCGTATTTTCTTTGTAATATTAAATTAGCTATAGAAAAAAACATTTTTGAAGTCTTATTAAATACGAATACGTCGACCCCTTAGAATCAAAAATTGATAATTAGTAAGTATAATATATATACATATGTATATATGTATATACATTATATATAGTAGTAGTAGTAGTAGTAGTAGTAGTAGTAGTAGTAGTAGTAGTAGTAGTAGTAGTAGTAGTAGTAGTAAAAAACTAGCATGTTCTGTCTCTTCGGTTCTAAGTGAGAACATATGTGTGATAGAATATACTCGCTAAGCAGCCGTGCTATACGACACTATATCTTCAGGCGTAGAATTATAAAGATGTGCAATACCTTCCTTATAAGATTCCTCTATTTTTTGCTTTTTTTTTGCTTTTAAGTTCGTTAGATAGGAAGATGTGACAAAGAAGGTGAGCATACACATAAAAAAACCATAATTTGGTAAAGTTGTAAAAAACCCTACTAGCAATGCAAGTAAAGATCCAGATAAGCTTAAAGACTTCTTATCATAAGCTCGTTTTGAAATTAAACACGACGCTAGGAGAGCAACCAAGAAATGAGCAGTAAATGATTGCAGATTGTTTAGTATCATCATTAGTATGATTAAATAAATAACGAATCTAAACATTTTAAAACTTCAAGTTTTACATACCAACCTTTTTAAAATCAATAACCAACTATTATAAACCAATATTTTGATAAACCGAACAAATCAAAAAATCTTTTGTTTACATAGTAATATCATTTTACAAAACAAACTATTTAAAAAGCGGCTAGTTACCAGCGTAAAAATAAGAAGTTAAGATATTTTTCTGCAGTAATGATAAAAAAAAAAGTTTAAGCGACCATTAATTTAAATCTTAATCAAGACTTTTTGAAATAAAAATTTATTAAACTTCAAATTCTTAAACTTAACATTATAATTCACTAAACTTAACATTATAATTCGCCTTATTTTCAAAGATTAAAAAAAAGACAAAAAATTAAGGGACTTCATATCAAACTTAAGATACCAAATTAATCCCGTGCATTATTTTTAGAAAATTAAATTATTTTATACTACACGTTTTAAAATTTATACCGATTACAATTATCGCACGTACTTATGGCTTTAACTTTTAAAACTAAACAGATTTTGCTATAAGTATTGCTAGTTGAATATGATATGGAGAAACCATTAGTAGAAACCAGTATCATTGGTCTAAACGCATTTTTGCTTTGACTCAACAAACAAATTCAATTGCATTGGATTTGAAGCTGGGCCTACCGCATTTTGCGTTATCTCAACAAATAGATATGGTTGGTGATACGTAATTTTGTTTCGCTTTTTAGTAGGCTGTACTGAAAGTAGGGTGTACTGAAAGTACTTTTTTAGTAGGCTGTACTGAAAGTACTATTTTAGTAGGGTGTACTGAAAATGAGCTTTTGAAAATTTAAAATTTAAATAATATTTTCGGAAGTCCTAAGTGATTTTCAGATATATTATAAAATTAATGCTTTGTTGGCCCAACAATAACTAAGACGTTGGGCCAACGTTGCAATAACTAAATTGTGCTGCTCTTGTTACTTTTTGAGTTACAATACTTTAAAGATAATTCCAGATACATAATATGAAAAGTAAATAAAAAAAAACATACTCAACTGTTATAGTAGATTTAAAAAAACTAATTTATTATAAATGCAGCAAATGTAAATCCGGGCCAACGACAGCGGGGGGCCAAGAGCATTGCCTCCCCCCACCCTTTTTTTTTTTAACTTCTAGATATAGGACTTTTTAAAATTGTGCCCTTCCACTTAGAAACCCGTGTCGTTAGCCCTGAAATTAAAAGAAAACAAAAAAATAAATATTAATTGCATTGCAAAACTACAACAGAAACATTATTTTAAAAATATTATTAAATTGACAATACAAGCATAAATACAGAACAGTTTAACCATATATATGTATTGATGTTATGATATAAACTTTTGGAATGTTAAATAAAAAAATGCTTTTATTATTTTATGTTAAAAAAAAATGTTTATATAGTATATAAACCCTAAAGGTATAATACCCAAAATGCTAGTAATACCTTTATCAAAAACTGCATGAAATAGCAAGAATAATATGAAATCAATTTCTATAAAAAATCAGAACTTTTCGAATCTCAAAGATGGAAAGAACTCATAACAAACTTTTAGCATTTAAGATCAAGAATCAGACAAACATTCTTTAGATCAAATAGGGAGGGAAGTTTAACAATTTTTTGAAAATTTTTCCACCCGTCCTGAGCTTATTAAAACTCCCCTTTTTCCCCTTTATTAATTTTTACTTGTTACCAGCAAAGAAATTTCATGTTAAAACTAAGAAAAAAAAAAAATGTTCAGTGTAAACAGAATCAAACTCATCAATTCGGAAACTCTTGCAAATTTTAATCAAAAATGAGCTTTTGGTTCCACTACCAAGTACATTCCTCACCATAGTATAAAAATATATATAAGCATATTAAATCCTATTGAAATAACAGTTGCTATAAAATATGAGTGCTACCCCATCCATCAATACAACCCTTGTTTATTAGATTTAACAAGAGATTTCCACCCACATCTTTATTAAGTTCGCCCCATTGAATAGATCTAGACAAATATTTCTACACCCACATGTTATAAGCACTTAAAAGAGAATAATTGTTTTCAATAAAAGAGAATAATTCAATAAAAGAGAATAATTTCACATAAAAGAGAATAATTGTTTTCAAAATATTTGCAAAGCAATCCCAGGCTTAAGTAACAAGAAATTAAAGGCTTAGGTTTTTGATAGAACCTAAATTAAACAGTTATGTGATATTTGCGATTGTGACACCAATATTTGTCCATCAATGATGATATTATATTAGTAGCATGGACTCTTTATGAAGAAAGCTTAAAAAAACTTTAATAGTAAAAAAAAATAAAAAAAATAAAAAACCACTGAAAAAATCTGACATGCCTAAAAATTTAAGAACCCTTGGAATAAATGAGCATCAAACATTGAATGAGCATTCAAACATTTAAACTATTAACTTAAAAAAAAATAGATGATGCCAGATAATAGAAGATTTTCAGACTAAGGTTAAAATTTAAAGCATCAAGCACATGATTCTCAATATCCATGAAAACTCCAAAAAATAACAGATGTTAACTACATCCTACTACTGTTTTTTAGTAACCCTCCAAGGTAAAAACTTGAGGAGTAAATAGAAATGTTGGCCAGTCTTGCACTCTTTTCTTTACTTGTGCCTTCTTGATAGTGGCTATTTAACTATTTATTTTGTAATCTGGGTATAGCTCAAAAACTCAAATTAATAGTGCTGAGACTTGCTCGTATTATGGTTTCCCAAACTCTGCAGTAGCTCTCAGAGAAGCTGATTCATGCAACAGCTGTAAAATGTTAGAGTATTAATAGTACAATATTGTGCATGTGATGGTATTTCTGCAATTGGTGTGCATTGTCAGCTTAGGAAACACTTTGTTATAACTTTGGGTTAATTAGTGGGACTGAGGCATTTGTTTTTTAATTGCTTTTGGTGTCATATACTAACTAGGAGTCCAGTTTTCTAACGACTTAAAACATGACTTGAGTAAATAAAATTATTAACAAAAAAAAATCATCACCACCACCTAATTTTTTCAATCTATTATAAATATCCAAAAAAAAGGTCTTAGAAGTAACTTTTTATCTGTTAAACCTTACCTCATGGAAAATTCACCAGACTTGTTCTTGGTGAGATAAATATGAATGTTTTACTTTTAGATCTGGGTGTTGATAGCTGTTTTTTTAATATGAAAAACAATAGTCAAATAGCCTGGCATCTAGTTTTGTATCAACTCACCTATTTATCATTAAACCATGTTTGAATCTTTTGACCATTCAATTATGCACTTCCGCAATACCTTTTATCCACCAGTTAATATTGTTGTTACTGATGAAATTAATGCTCATCACGCTTTTTTTCATTATCACAATAATAAAAAGAACAAACATCTTTTTACAATTGCAAGAAAATAATGCAAAAAGGTGGTCTAAGACTACGCTCCATTATTCTCAGTTTGCTAAATTTCCTATTTCATCTCAGAAGTTATGTTCTAGAGACTTTTAAAAAAATATGCATTAAAAATTTTTACTTGTATAAAATTGTACCATTTTTTAAAGGTATGTTTCTCTAATAAATAATTTCGTCTCTAATAAATAAATTTCCTTGTAGAAAGATAATGACCACACCATACATACCTACCTCCTGTCATACCAGAAACAAATTATTTAAGATTATATAATAGAATTTATAAGAGTTATATATAAGAATATAAAGAGTATAAGAGTATAGAATATATAACAGAATATTTACCAAAAGAGAAAGAGATTTTTCCTTTTTTTTTTGTTAGACATTCAAATCACTCCGGCTTGAGTTGCTCAAGATAATTCTTTCTTAAACTTTTCTACAGTTTGTAGTCTAGACAACATTAATATTCTTACAAAAATGTTCTAAAGAACATTTTTGTAAGAATATAAATTATTGATAACTCTGGAGAACACTCTGATTCCTTTAACTATTACTCCATTCTCTCTATTATCATCGTGTTTAAATATTTAATTAACAAACTTTTAATATCTCACCTTAATTCTAACAGCTTACTTGGTGACAATCTCAAAAAATCAATAGATTTCGATATTCTTGCTCTACAGCTTATTGTTATAACAGTTAACCATTATAAAAGGTTCTATGGTGTATTAGAGAAAAAGAGAGGTTCTATGGTGTATTAGACAAAAAGAAAGGTTCTATGGTGTATTAGACAAAGGAGCGAGGCAAAGATTATAACTTTTGACATATGAAGAGCTTTCAATTTCAAATTTCAAAGTCTGACATACTGATCTTGTCTAAAAGCTATTTGGTGTATCTGGGAAAAGTTTAAAGATAATTATTGAACCACAAGGCTTCATCTGTGACTCTGTTTTATTATTCATCTATATTATTGCTTTTCCTAATAATTACCTCTAAAGTGGCTCTATTTGTTGACGACAAAACTATATACTCCAGACTTAACAAAAAGTCATTATTTTTCGAATGCTTAAAACAGGCAGCAAATTTTATACCTGATCTCTTTTCTGTGACAGCCTGAGGCTTGTAATGGCTTATGAATTTTAATCCCAACAAAACTTAGTCAATTACAGCTAACAAGAATTACAATACTGCTAATATTTCTATATTAATAAAAACTTTTATATTGAATTCTCTATTGAATTTTCTTTAGGTCGTCTTAAACTATCTTTCACTAATGACCTAAAAGCAACTTTTCTACTGAATCCTCGACTTTAGATCTTCTTGGATTATCATTCACTACTTAATATTCCTTTACTACATACTTATTTATCATACTACATTTTATGTATACACTATACATTTTATATACATTAAATAACAGAAAAATGTTTAAATTTTTGACAGAACTATATAAATTATAAGCTATATAAAATAAATGTATTTTTTAGGAAATTTTTAATAAATGGTATTATGTCATAAATGATAGAAAAACTAACAACTAATAAGAGCGATATAGTTCTATAACAACCACTGACAGCTGTTCTAAGATGTTGTTTTTTTGA